ATGAGGCTAATTCTGTGCTTAATAATCTGACTGAGAATGAATGGCTTATAGATTCTGGCTGTACCTACCATATGACACCCTTTAGGAACTTGTTCTCTTCCTACACTCTGTGTGATAGTGGGTTTGTGTCTCTAGCTAATAGTAAGAGGTGTGATGTTCATGGTATGGGTGACATAAGTCTGAAATTTGATAATGGAACTGTTTTCAAATTAAAAAATGTTAGACATATTCCTGATCTTAGCCACAATCTGCTTTCTGTGTCTGCTTTTGAAGAGGATGGTCTTGAGGGAAAATGGGGGAAAGGGTGCATGAAAATCCTGAAAAATTCTTTGGTTTTGTTCAAGGCTTTGAAACAAAATAACCTCTATGTTGTTAATGCTAAACCATTTTATGAAAAGGCAAATGCTGTGCTCACAGACAAGTCTGTGCTTTGGCACCAAAGACTAGGTCATATGAGTAACAAAGGCCTAAATATTTTACAAAAATCTGGCTGTTTTGGAAATGACTTAGTGTCACATGTGCCTTTCTGTGAAGGTTGTGTTTTAGGCAAACAACATAGGGTTCAGTTTCCTGTGTCTAGCTATCCTAGTGAGCCTAAGTCTAAGTCTGCTCTTGACTACATACACGCAGATGTATGGGGTCCTTCCAGTGTTCCTACCCATGGGGGAAGGAAGTATTTTCTGTCTGTAATTGATGACTTCTCTAGGAAAGTGTGGGTCTTCCTGTTAGAACACAAATCTGATGTGTTTGTCAAGTTTAGAGATTGGAAAACCTTGATAGAAAACCAAACTGGCTATAGGATTAAGACTCTTAGGACTGACAATGGCTTAGAGTTTTGTAACCATGACATGGATAGGTTCTGTGCTGATCATGGGATTAGGAGACACAAAACTGTACCCTACACTCCCCAGCAAAATGGTCTGGCAGAAAGAATGAATAGGACCCTCTTAAACAAGGTCAGAAGCATGCTTGCTACTTCTGGCCTTCCCAAGAAGTTTTGGGGTGAAGCTGTTATTGCTGCAGCCTATTTGATAAATAGATCTCCTTCAGTCCCTTTAGAGGGTAAGTGTCCTGAGTCTGTCTTCTCTAAGAAACCCCTTGACCTGTCTAACCTGAAAGTGTTTGGGTGTGCTGCATATGTACATCAACAAACTGATAAACTAGACCCTAGGTCTAAGAAGTGCATATTCCTTGGTTACCCTGAAGGGATAAAGGGATATAGGGTATGGGATAGAAACCAGATTGGTTTTAAGGTCATTATCAGTAGAAACGTTGTGTTCAATGAACATGATTTCCCTTGCTTAGCAACAACCTTAACAGAGCCTGAACCCAACTCTGATGGCACCTCTCAGATTGAGGTGGAGCCCACTCAAACTACTGCTATTCCCTTGTTTAATGAAACTGAGTCTACTGATACTTCTGAGTCTTCTAGCACTTTGCATGAAACCCCCTCCACCTCTAGTGAGGTGGAGCAGTCCACTGAAACTGCTAGTAGTGAAGGTTTACATGAGACTTTTGTTGAATCTGATTATACTGATACTAATGAGTCTAGTTCTATTCCTGTTGTGAACAATAGCCTGGATGATTACCAGTTAGCTAGAGATAGGACTAGAAGGAATATTAAGAAAGTGTCTGATAGCATGGATGATTTTGCTTTTCACTTATATGACACTTCCTTGTTTGCATTCTCTGTTTTTGAAACCCTTGACTTGAATGAACCTAAGACTTACCAAGAAGCCCTTGGTTCTAGAGAATCAAAAAGATGGCTAGATGCTATGCAAAGTGAAATTGAATCTCTGAAACTAAATAGGACTTGGACTCTTGTTCCCAGGCCACATAACTGTTCTATAGTTGAATGTAAATGGCTGTTTAAGGTAAAAGAAGAACCTAATGACATTAGGTTTAAGGCCAGATTAGTTGCCAAGGGTTTTACCCAAAAAGAAGGTGTGGACTATGCTGAAATATTTGCCCCAGTTGTTAAGTTTACCACTATTAGGATGATGCTTGCCTTAGTTGCTTATAATAACTGGGAAATGAAGCAGATGGATGTTACTACTGCCTTTCTGCATGGTGACCTTGATAAACAGATTTTCATGACCCAACCTGAGGGTTTTACTGACCCTAAATACCCCAGGCATGTCTGTCTACTGAAAAAGGCCCTCTATGGCCTGAAACAGTCTCCTAGACAGTGGAATATAAGGTTTGACCAATGCATGACCTCTTTAAAGTTTAAAAAGTCTGATTCTGATCACTGCCTGTACTTTAAAGATACTGTTTCTGAACCTGTTTTCTTGTTGATATATGTTGATGATATGCTGCTTATCAGCCCTTCTGTGAATGCTATAAAGTTTGTTCAAAAATGTCTTAGTGAGAACTTTGCTATGAAAGACCTAGGAGATGCTAAAAGAATCTTAGGAATTAACATTGTTAGGGATAGAGATAGTTGTACTCTCACCCTGAACCAAACCTCCTACCTTGAGAAGGTCTTGAAGAAGTTCAATTTGGACTCTGCCCAACCTGTTGATATTCCTTTAGCACCCCACTTTGTGCTGAGCAAGGATCAGTCCCCAAGGACTGCTCCTGAGATAGATAGGATGAAATCTGTACCCTATTCCAGTGCTATAGGGTCAGTCATGTATCTCATGGTAAGCACAAGACCTGATATAGCTTATGCTGTTAGTTGCTTAAGTAGATACATGGCAAACCCTGGTATGACTCACTGGACAGCCCTTAAATGGCTGCTTAGGTACCTTAAAGGTACCCCCTCTCATGGACTTGTGTTTTCTAAAACCCCATCTGGTATTTTACTGACTGGTTATGTTGATTCCAATTATGCAAATGACAGGGACAATAGGAAGTCAACTACCTCCTATATTTTTACCCTTTGTGGTTCCTGCATAAGCTGGAAATCACAACTGCAACCTATTGTTGCATTGTCCACTACTGAATCTGAATACGTTGCAGCCACTGAAGCCTTTAAAGAGGCCATTTGGCTGAAGCGTTTACTAACTGAAATTGGCTTTCTTAAGCAGGTTGTGACTGTCTATTCTGATAGCCAGTCTGCCATCCAGTTATGCAAAAATCCAGTCTTCCATGACAGGACCAAACATATAGATGTCAGATTTCACTTTATAAGGAATATTGTTGATGCAGGTGATATCAAGCTGTGCAAGATTGCTTCTGAGTTCAATCCTGCTGATATGGGAACTAAATGTCTTAATTTTGAAAAACTTTTATCTTGTAAACGTACTCTTAATTTAGACTGTGGCTAGATAAGAACAGGTACACAAGAAAAACCGGCGATGATGATACTCCCTTTCACGTTGTGCTCTACACCACCAGGGGGGGCCAACAAGGTGGAGATTGTAAGTAGGTATTGGCCCCCCTCCTTGATCCTTTGACCCACTCCATTTAATGTCTTGGTCTCCTATTAAATGTTTCTGGCCCATTTGGGCTGGCAGCCTGACTTAGCCCATTCGCCCACCCTTGTTTATTTCTGGCCCGTGACTCTTGGTGGCCCTCTCTTATATTGTCTGGTTCCTTCTGGAACCGCCTATTTCTTCGTCCCTTCTTCTCTCTAACCGATGAGAAGTCGATTGAGTTACCCCTTTCCTAGAGTGAGAGAGTGCCGGTTTACCGATGGGTCTGAGCTCTGGCTACCTTCGGTAATACCTTGGGAATCCTGTTGGGGTCTTCACCTAGGTCTGGTTGGTTGGGGGGGTTCTCTTCTCCGGTGGGTCGTTACTGGGTAGTCAGGCTGGGTGGTTTGAGTTCCTAGACTGAGGGTTGCTGGCTTGATGCCCTTTTGATCTTCCTTGAGTTCCTCCTTGGTGGTGAATGGTGAGCAAGCCTTTGGGCTATGGTGATTGAGGTCTGAGCCGGTCCAGATTCCTTACAGAACAAAAGAGCACTACACAGATTGTTATTATAGATAACACAGATTAAGAATGGATACAAATCATGTTGAAATTAATGTTAAGAGTTTTGATTGTTTACACCCATTAGTGGATACGACAGTTTTTAAAAACTATAATTTGTTTTCTGCTAAATAGAGTCTCATCTTAAATAGAGACGTAGATGCAAATTATCTTACATAAACAATGATCAAGTTTACAATTGTACTGCTTTGGTTGTATCTAAATCACGTAGAGATATAGTAAACTAACATCCGTAGCTTTGTCTTTTGAAGTGACGTATGATGAGGTTCCTTCACTTGAAGGTTTTTGTTGTTTCTTTCAAGCACAAAAATCGGCATACATACATGATAAAAGCTCATTTCAAATCCAATCTTTAAAATTAAGATTAAATAAATTTATATGTGTACCAATAAACTAAACTATATGTATACAGCTTTAATTAATGCATTATTTTGAAGAAATGAATTTTTGAGGGAGCTTGATATAATTTTCTTTATATGGTACAATCAAATAGAAAATGAGTATTTTGTTGAACAAATTCGAATTTCATTAGAAGTATTGACTATTGAGAGAATATGATATCATCGTGCTATTTCCATTCTTAAATAAGTACAATTGTTCATGTTTCACGTTTGTCGATGCACAGCTTTGACGATTAATATATATCATTCTCTATTAGTAAAAAGTTAAATAACATATTTTGAGAATTTACAATGCGACAAATGTAATGATATATTTTTAGAAATAATTTATTAATACATTAAAAAATAAAACGTGGTCAAAGTAGAACAAGTGAATACTGTAAAAATCTACTTGTAGCATTTATTTAAGAACAAATGTAGTGTTTTTTAAAGAAATGTAAATATGTCAAAATAGGACATGTTGTTTGGCTTCAAAATTGCATAATTGTTGGTGTATACACCCATTAAGCACATAACCTCAAAGTCTAGTGTTCAACACATAGTGATTAAATACCCGAATGAAATAAACAGAATAATAAATTTAAAGGTTGGCTAACTAACAAAAGCAACAGAAAACCATTACAAAAATATTTAAAAAAGTAGAAAAATAAACACAACAAAATTAAAAGACCTTATTAAGATTGAACTCAATCGCTACAATATACTAAAAGTGAACTGCTAACTCTCTCTAGGGCGTTTGAGCCGCTAGGGTTTTTTGTCCGTTCTCGTCTTCATCGACGGGGTTTGGTGGCTGTTTGGCCAAAGTTTAGGCTGGGGATTTAGAGGGCGTAGCAGGTTTTGACTTCGATTTGGTTTTGCTTGGGCTCGCTGGTCTGCTATCGCGGGTCTGGGTGCTGTTTCGGTCTTGGTCGGTGTTTGGCTTCGGTCCGGGTTCGCTGTGGCCGAGGTTCGTCGGGCCCTTCGAGGACTGTTCGTGCCGGTGCCGAGTTTGCTGCATGGAGAAGATCGCAGACCTGTATCGCAGGATGAGTGTTGAAGACGAGGGTGTGGAGCTGAGCTGTGATGAACCCGATTCCGAAGAGAATTCCAATGAGGATGCTCGACCGGTCTTCCCCGTGGTGGGCGCGTTGATAACAGACAGGAAAATCAAATTTTCAACTTTCAAAGAGATGATGGCGTCGCTATGGAGGCCAGGAAGGGGCGTGGAGATCAAGGAGATCGAGGAAAAGAGGTAACGTGTGATTGATGGGGTCCATGACACTTTGAAAGGAATTTACTGATTGTGAAAGAAATAAACCCTACTTATATTCCGCATAAGATTTGTTTTAATGAGGCAGAATTTTGGATGCGAGTTCACAATGTTCCCTATTGCTTATTGAATCTAGGCACAACTAGAAGGGTGGGTAATTTTCTAGGTAGATTCATTAACTATGATAAAAATCAATATGGGGAACAATATAATGGAATTCCTACCTGTGTGTTAGAGTGTGCATTAATGTGGCATTTCCTTTGAAAAAAAGAACAACTCTGAAAAAGGAGGGGGTTGGATATTGTGTGGATTTTCAGTATGAGAAGCTACCTAACTTTTGCTTTATCTGTGAAGTTATTGGTCACTCTGAGAAATTCTGCCCGCTTATGTATGAGGAAGGCTTGGTGCTGGAAAAAAGGTTTGGTCTGTCGCTTAAGGCAGGAAGTGGGGTGAAGACTAGTCCTAGAGGTAAAAATAAATGGATGGTTGGGGAAGGTTCATTTTCGGGCAGGAATTCACAGGAATGGGAGAACAAGGGGTCAGACGGAAGAGCACAAGGGGACAAGGAGGATACAGTGGTCTCGGGTAGTGGCTCTACTAAGGAAGTGGTTCTAAAACATACTGAAGAATCATCAGGAGAGCAAAAACGCATACATATATGGGAAGCAGGGACATCACAGGAACAAGGGGGACGAGATGGCACTGGATGTCTGGATGGGACAAAAAATGGAGAGGAGACGGGCTTAGAGAGGTAAGCTTGTCAGCGGCTAGGAAACGAGAAGAAAATTTAGATTAGTGCCTCATTGTGCTTTTTGGAGGATCCAGTTATTTTTATTTTATGGTTTTTATTTATATCGACTGTTATTTGCTTTCTAGTTGATTTTGTTGCTCTGATTTAAATTGTAAGACGACGGTTTTGGATTTGGATGTGGGTGATCATTTAAGTGCGATTATCGTCACTGGCTCAGTTGTGTGCATTAATGGATCAACGAGTTATATTACCGAGGTGATTAACTCTGATTCTGGTTCGCGGGACAACGATTTTCTCAAGTTTTATTGTTGTTTTACCTACTCTCCGAATAGTTTGGATTGATATTAATGTAAGCCACTTTCATCCAAAAAAATTGAACTCAATCATAAAATCATATCCAATTGACAAATTTAAAAGAACTATCCTGCAAAAACTGTGATGACATGTAAAAAGAGGACTTTTCTGTCATTAGACTGAACAGCTAATAATATAAACCGCATTCATCCAACAGTTGAAACATTTTCAATAAATCCATATTTTTAGAGAAGTAAACCCAGGCAAAAAGCAATCCAAGTTTTATTTTTACCTACACAAGTCATTCAATAGTTAAACATGTCAATTATGTAAAAGATCTTCAATAAAGAAATGAATTGTGAAATGTATATTGCTCAAGTAGCATATTTCTTTATTTACATAAAAGATGGTGTTGCGTGAAGAGTAGCACTCTAATTCACGGCGTCTTGAGTGCTGATTGAATTCAATTGATAAGCGAGTATAATCCCACATTTGATACCAATCCCCATTTTTATCAATTCTCTAAAGAAAGTTACACTTTATTCTCATATAAGCTCCAATGTGAAGTATTAAACACACGAAATTTGTTTTTTAAATGTTTTTTCTTAAATGTTATTTAAAGATATGTAGAACTACTTAATGTACTTTGTAGAACTATTCAATTACTTCCAAACTTTGTGTTGAAACTTATTCCTACTCTTCCCCTGAGAATGGAAACATTCCTCCTACAGAAGAAAAATAGAAAAATAGTGACACTTGAACATTTACTTTGCATGCTCTAACAAAAAACAAAAAAACAAAAAAAAAAAGTTTTCCCTCCTATAACTTCTTCCAAGGTAATCCCTCCTATAACTTCTTCCAAGGTAACTAAAAAACTTCTTTGTGATTGGGTGAGTGCTCTAAACATTCTTGTGGAACCAACAAAGAACATATACGTATATTCTTTTTAGAATTGTGATAGCATTTGGTGTATAATAATGTCATAAATTTACCGTAACTAAATACCTTACGTGAAATTCATTAGCCATCATCGAGAATCATTCTTGTACAGTTACTTAAGTTTAAAGGAAGAATCTTAAGATTCACCTTAGTTTATGACTTATTCAAACACATATTCTCTTTAAAGGCATATGTATATCCTATACTACGAATCACAATGGATATTATATGTCTTGTATCATATCTCTCGTGGTGATTCGTCAGTAGTCATTACTCAAGTGAAAATATTGATATAAACGATGTCATTGTGAAATCAGATTCATGCTCAATTTGTCATATTAATTACCACCCTAATGTCTCTCAATTGGTCATTGTGAAACATTGTATTCTTAATATAAAAGATTAACTTGAAAAGTTAGTCTAAAATTTAAGAACAAAATTAGAAAAGTATTGAAAGCTATAAGACAAAACGTAAAAACAGCCCCTAGACAAAAGATGCATTTCAATAAGATTACTCACTTCGGTTGAATTTGTTTCTTTTGAATATTGAATCACATATTCATGTCCACTCAAAAGACAATAGGTTGATGAGGTTAGGAAAAACATAACAATGTCCATTTAGTAAGGGTAAACTTTGGTTGAACCAATGAATATAGCAGAAGACATTAGGTTCCTGAGGTTATTAAGAGTGATTGAAATAGCAAAATCGAATGAAATGCTCAATTTTCTAACAAAATTCTTGAATGAAAGGAAACTACAAAGGAAAGATGAATATAAAGGTGCTCCTACTTTGTTTCTATATTGAAGCAAACATGGTAAATTAAGGAACATTTTTCATTATGATTCACCAATGCATCCAAATAATTTTGAGAGAAATATGATAAATAAGAAGATAGTCAAAATAGACAAAAAATGTAGTCTAATAAGATTTAAAAACAATTAGTGCAAGCATCATGCTCATCTTGGATAGTCATCGCCTAGAGACTGGAGTGCCACCTTTCTTACTCCATGTTTACTTAACATCCATTCTTACTTATTATAATCAAATAACAATATGATTATAATAAGAAAGCCAGATTAATAGTGTCAATTTCATAGAGATCACAATATATGTAATCATGTAACACGCACCCCGTCCGGTCTAGCCGGTTCGGGATGGATGCCACTGTCATTTATCTTTGATAGAAATTCCCGATAAAATTACGAATTAGTTGAAAAATAAAATCAAAATCCATTGTTAACTTTATTTTTATAAACCTCATTAATCGGAAGCTAACTTTAATAAAAATTCAATCATTTGATTTAATAAAGTTGTCATTAAATAATTGTTTAATTACATTGAACTTATCCAAAACTCCAATTGATAAAATAACATTAACTTTTAAAACAGTGTTGATCGTACTAACTTTACAGAAAAATGAAAATAAAACGAAACACATGCAATGCAGTCCTGTCCAGATGTCTCCTTGTTTCGGGACTCCACTTGAATCTCTCATTCACCTACTTGTAGAAAAACTACACGCTCAACAATAGGATTGTTGATTGATACTATAATATAACATGACAACATGTAATAACAAATACTCCCTCCGTCCCAGGGAGAAGTTCCCGGGTTGACTTTCACACATATTAAGGAAATAAAGTTACTGGGGGTAAATTTTACTGTTTGGCACTGTTTCGACACTGTTTGGCACTGTTTCGACACTGTTTTGCACTGTTTGGCACTGTTTTGATGTAGAATAACTTTCCATTTAGGGAAATGGGAACTTCTTGTTGGGACTGCCAAAAAAGGAAATTGGGAACTTCTCCCTGGGACGGAGGTAGTATATATTTATATTTGCTACTCAAATAGTTTACGAAAAGTATTGATATCATTACAGTCCATTTGTACTATTAATCGTTTTCTGAATATCACCTTTTAACATAATTTATTCATGCTTATAAATTTGTTACCGACTAAGTGGGTAAAATGAATCACAAGAAATTAGTCAAAACATCATATTTAAAAAATAGCTACAAAGATTTCATTTTTTCATATAATCTTACTCAATGTTTCTTTTTAATTCGGACCATTTTATAACTTGTCCATCTCTTCAAAAGATATTAAGGTAATTTAGTTTCTCATAAAAGTAAACAGATACATATATCCTTTAAGAAAAATAATCATAACATTTGAATTCATAAATAAAGGATCCAACTTTCTGAATACTTATTTCCTTATTCATCTAATTTTAGTCTTAACTCTTAAGACCAGACTCTAGTTAAGGGTACAGATAAAGTAATTTTGAACAAAGTTCTAGTTACTTTATCCTTTAGATAACAAAGATCTTCGGATCACAAGGATCATCGATAATAGAGAGTTCAAATTCAGAGATTCAGAGGACCCTAGCCTGGACCGTATGCTAGCATACCAGAGGAGTCATAGTCGGTAAAATCAACTAGTACCCAAAACTTTAAATAGAGGTACCCAAAGACTATTATCTAAATCTTAGAGTAAGGCTCTTTTCCAAAATATTACATAAATACATGTATTATTGAAAAGTATAATAATTAAAAAAAAAACGGAAGCAGAAAAAAAAGAAAAAGAAAAGTTACGTTACTGATGACTAACGCCGCCGCTGCGGCGGTGGTCACACCGTTGATCCCGTCGGATAAGAACGTTTGGAAGAAGAAGTCTTTTGCTGAGGTTCTCTCTGGTAGCAGTGAGCAGCCTTTCTTAGCAAAAACGCATCACCGTCATAAAGGTTTACTTGTTGTTCAATTCCCGGACTATGAAGCTCGGACGCTCGAAGAACGTCACAAGCGTTCTTTGGTAGGGTATTTTTTCAAAGGAAGGCCTAATCTTTCAGTCATTCGAAAATCCTTTGAAGTTATAGGTTTTGCTGGAGTCTTTCAATTAGGTGTGATTGATCCTAAGCATGTTTTAATTCGATTTGATTCGGATGAAGATTTTATTAGATGTTGGGATCGACAGTCTTGGTCCATCCATGGACATTTGATGAGGGTTACGAAGTGGACACCGGCATTCCAACCTAATGTGGGAGCCACCGGTGGTTCCAGTTTGGATCGGTTTTGAGGGACTGCCTATTCATCTCTTTGATAGGAGGGCGCTTTTATATATATAGCAGGGTTAATAGGGACGCCTCTAAAGATAGATGCAGCCACGGCCAATCTATCTCGCCCCTATGTTGCAAGAGTTTTTGTGGAACTCGATTTAACTGTTGACAATCCTCATAAAATTTGGATACAGTGTGGATCCTATAACTTTGCTCAACAGGTTACTTATGAGGATAAGCCAGACTATTGCCAGTCTTGTCTCCATTTGGGACATTCTGGTTTTAAATGTCCCAAATGAGTGCCAAATAATAATGCCCAGAAGAAAAGCAATAAGTTTACAGTTTTAGAAAAGGAGAAATGGATTGCTAAACAACCCCAATTATTACAGATTACTAATGGAGATACAACGAAAGAAACGGTGAAGGTTTCTGATCCTTCTACATCAAAGCAAATGGTTCCTGAACACAACAGCAGGGAGATTGAAACAGTGGACATTCAAGAAGACTCAGATACAGAGGAAGTATACCATGATCCGGAACCTGAACCTGCACCTGCAATTCCTAATCAGAATAAGAATGGGGAGGCTATACATAATAAATCAATGGATCTGGCAGGGCTTACTAACCATATGTTAGAAAAATAGTATTATAAATGCGAGTTTAACCAGATAAAAATCCCGAGTTTATACAAATCACCAGACAAACCAACAAATGCAAGAACAAATAATAATAATAATAATTAGAATAATAAAAATGAATAAAGAGAAAAGATAAGAAAAACTTATCGCAGGATCGCCCGTTAGAACGGACTGGCCTTGAAGAAAGATAGCCTCCGTATCCCGATAGCTATTCGGACGGGTCTGGCTAGCTCACTCCCAGGATAATCCTACCACGTTTCAGACTTGTAGCTACCTCGACTGAAACCTTCGACCGTTGCCCGGTTTGCCGTTGAATAGAAAGACTCAAAGAATGAAACTACAGAGTATTGATGCTCTTGCTCACGCACAAGGTAATGTACTGATTTTCTTTATAAACGAAAGCAAAGTTGCAGAAGAGAGAAAATGTTCGGTGGGTTTCTTTCTTTCTTTTTGTGCGTGTTACGAGCAAAGTAATAGAAAGGGAATATATATACTCTCTTGTTTTCCTTACGTGAGACTTGAATGCAAAAGCATGCAAAGAATTGAATTTTTCCTTTTGGAATAAAGAAGTTGATCAGGCAAGGAAAACAACGGAAATCAGATATAAATTCTCAAGTGTTTACGTGATTGCAAGTTTGCAACCATGTTGTCGACTTCTGTTTTTCCTTCACATTTTTTTTGTCATTATTTGGTTTTATATACATGACGTGTTTCAATTTAAAACATGGTTCTATATTTAGGTTAGTTTTTCACAACATCCACAATCAATTGGTTTCCGCTGTAGGTTCATGCTTGCTGCTCCAATGGCTGAGGAACTTCTCATACCCCAAGTGACACCTCAAACTAATCCATGGACCCAGGGGAGGATCTACGTTAGGGCTATGGTGGGCTGAAGCCCAGGGCAAAGTAGAAAAAAAATATTTTTTAAAGGTATTATTTTTAAAAAAATCCATCCAGCCCACCCCTATTTTTTCTATAGCCCAGTCAAATTTTTCAGCCTAGTCCCATAAAAGAAAATCTTACCATCTAAAAATCTAATCTAAATGTTATATGTATCACCTAGGGCTGGGAAAAAACTCCCGACTCCCGACTCCCGATCCCGACAATGCCGATCCCGAAAATCCCGATCCCGACTAAGTTGCAGTAAAATACACTTCATGATGCACTGAAATATGCAATCTAGCACGGTGGCATTTCTGTAAATACTTCTGAAAAATCCGTATTACACGTGTCTAGTGCAACATGAAGCTATTTCGGTGCAATGCCGTCAAATATTAGTGCAACATGAAACAGTTTTAGTGCAACATGTGCAAAATTTAAATATTACTGCAACATAAAGCCAATTTTAGTGCAACTTCGTAAATCCAATGGCTAAGATTTATTCTCATTTCTCACATTAGATGTATTTCTCACCTGAACCAAAATCTATATATATATATATATATATACATGTATATAATTATATATGAATATATAAAAAATGAATATGTATCTAAATATTTGCACATCTTTTTTTAATTACTTATTCCTTACATAGATTAATCTTTTACTACGAGTATCTTACAATATCAAACTTCTAAAACTATTCGGCATTTGTCCGAAAATGAATATTCGGGATCCTAACTAAGTAGAGATTATTCTTGATCCCAACAATCTAAATCACAACATACAATATTACAAATTTTGCGGTTCTAATGAACTCTTTAAAAAATTATGATCGAGACTAAGATTTCTTTATTTAGTAGATAATCATAATATGTATTTACACATTATATTCATTGGTCACAAAGTTTCTCAATGAGTCTACTTAGTTTTGAATTTTAAATAATATACGTTACATATCCTTCTTTTAGTGTTTTTTATATATTGTTTGAAGTAAGTTTCACTAAGCCTTGATAGCTTATTCAAAAATTATACTATTAATTAATTGAAGTTACACATAAAAATTATTCTAGAAGTATATACTAGTGTGAGTTTGAGATGATAATTATTACAATAACTTTTATAAGTAGATGATGATAAATATGGTATAAGAATAAACAAAGAATAATATTGAAACCACTAAATATCAAAGTTAGTGTTTAACTTAAGAAATTACATAATTTTATGTTTGATACTTCATTGTCGGGATTTAGCGGGATTCCCGATCGGGATCCCGACTTAATCGAGATTTTAATGTCGGGATCCCGACTTAATCGGGACGGGATACGGGATCCTCTTTTAGTTTGAATCGGGATCGGGACAGGATCGGGATTTGGGCAATCGGGATCGGGATCATCCCGATCCCACCCCTAGTATCACCCCTCACTTAATAAGTGGCACTTAATATATATGTAGAAGGGGCCATAAAGCCCATAAGCCATAAATATAATATATACAATAAAATATGATTCGATTAAGAGCTTGATTGGCATGTTCACAACAGCTTGTAAAGTGCTTGAGTATCTTCAGAAAATTTGCCCAAAAGTGAGTTCTCAGGCAGAAGTTTGTGGTGTATATAGACACTTTAATTTCCATGTTTTGATTTATGTTCAATTTAGGATGTTTTTACTTGAACTATTATTTGCTGGTCTGGTCTGGTCTGATTTCTTTGCATTTTTATAACTACCCAAGTCTGGTCTGGGACAAATTACAGTCTAAGTAAAAATATCCTTACTTTTGATGCACAAAGTTATGGGAATAATGAGTATTCTTTGTAAGGCCTCCAAAAAAAATGGATATCTTGGTATCCATGAGACATGTTTCTACTACACCTCATTCTCGGGGAATCGACAGAAAATGGATGGAGAGGCTTTCTTAAAGAAGTAAAAGAGTTTTACTCAAAACACAAAATTCATGTACCAGAGTTGAATTCTAAATATATGGTTGGTCATTGCCGAAAAGAAACTACAGTTGAGCATCTTTATCGATCACTTTGATGTTTGCAATGAGGCATTAAACTTTGTATTGATGAAGTGAAGGACACGATTTAATGATAAATCAGTTGAATTCCTTTCTTTGAGTGTTTCATTGGATCCCAAAATTCATATGAGTCGTTCAATGTCGATGTTATTTGTACTCTTACAAGGAAGTTTTATCCAGAAGATTTTAGTAGTCAGGATATATATTTGTGCTTTGGAATTCGAGCTGCAACACTATGTTCATGATGCGATTAATCATACAATGTTTCAAATATGTACACTTGTTGAATTATGTGAGGAGTTGACTCAGAGCAGAACATCTGATTCATATGTTATGATAAGCAAATTGATTGGCCTTCTATTGATCTTAGTGTTTCTAATGCAATAGCAGAACAATCATTTCTCTCATGAAACTTCTAAAGACAACACTCGACAACAAAATGGATGATGGCTTTCTTGCTGATTGCATGACACTTTATATTGAAGAAGACATTACTCTTGGTATAAAAAAGACCTTACTCTTAGTATAGATGTAGACTTTATTGTTGACGATTTTTTTGTTTCAAAGCCTCATCGAGAACAAATTTAGGAGAAAACTCTTGCGTAGTATATTTTATTTTTTTGCCTATTTTGAAAATTTTCAATGTATTATCATTTAAGTGTTTCAGCCCACCCCAACATGAAATCCTGGATCCGCCCCTGCATGGACCTGTAGGGTCACTGTTATTGAAAAGCAAAACACTAAAGTTGTGTTTGCGGTTGCTTAAAAAAAGTGATTTTCAGCTTTCGGCTTAAAAAAAGCTAAAAAGAGTGTTTTCAAATGACAACTTCTGCTTAAATTAATCACTTAAAAGCTAAAAGCTGGAAGCAGGTGCAAGGGTGCTTTAAACTGCTTTTCACTTTTTCTATTACACAAAAAGTACTTATTTTACCAAACACTACCAACTTTTACTCTTTCAGAATCACTTTTTCTCAAACACTACCAACTTTTACTATTAATCACTTTTCCCAAAATCACTTTAAAAAATCATTTTTTTAAAGTTGAAGCAATTGCAAACACTCCCTAAACAGGCTAGGACTTCTCCCATGCAGTATAAGGTGTTTATCCTCATGGATTCTGCGGTAACTTCAAACCCTCAATTAATTTTCATCATATATATTCCTTCCGCCTCCATCAAATATTTATTTCTTAACATATGAAAATAAATACTTCATCTGATCTGTATGTGGTTTAAAATGCTTATTGATGTTGGTGAATTGTGCCCGTAAATTCGAATCTAATTGTCGTTTTAGTTGTTCCAATGTCGTAAAGAACTATAAATGAGTTGGAATAAGGGAATCAGTGGTCTTGGATACTTTCAAAGTTTAATTTAAAGTGTTGTTAAATTATAACTGCCTCATATAAAGATATTCGAAACAAAGGTTGTTTACTGTAAGTTTCCTGTAGTAAAAACTAATGATTAATAATTTCCCCTTTAAATATCTGAACTCACTTGTTGCAAATGTGACCTTCAACAGGGTAACAAAGTTCAAGCAACAGCATTTAAAAATGATATTCAGGGGATCGACCAACGGTTGGAGCTCTACTCCACTTATCTGGTATCAAACGCTTACGTCAAGATTGCCTATGACCCACACTTGTGCCCAGACCCAAACTACCACTTTGCGTGGTCCTTCACAAGAAGGACTTTGATTCAAGACGCCCCCCTTGAAGATGAAGTTAATTTCCGCCAACTTGCGGAAACTGGCACAAAGTCATTTGACGACTTCTTCAATGCATACTTGCATAACGAACGCTTCAGTAAGCTTTCCACTTAGGTTGAATTCATATTTCTAAGTTTTACTTAAACACGTCCTCTTTGCTTTGCTTGCAGAGGTGCTGGATGCTGTTATTTGCAAATTGCCCCGACAATTCATAGTCACTGAAAAAGGCCAGCAGCCTGCAATGGATCTTGTTGTTGTCGATGAATTGTATACTCACAAAACATCCCTCGTCAATTTGTATGCTTATTACACTGTTTTGCATGTGACTTTGACTTTCATTGACTGTTACAGGTGTACCCCCATAGTGCTGACATTATGGGAAGACTTTGCTCGCGTCCAAGGGCCCAAAATAGAGGCCCAACTACAGCAAGGTCGTTACCCACTTGTTCTAATCAATAGGGTTGTGATCACCTTGTATCAAGGTACTCATCGGTGCCATAATATGTCTTTCTATCTGAACGTTGTTTTATGGACTGATCAGTTATGCCTTGTTGCCAGGTTTATCATTGTCAACGAGGTTTGGAACAAACATAGAAGTCAATCCAACCGGACCAAGAGCTGCATTACTTAAAGCATGGTAGGGGTTCATAAAATCCTTCAATAAGTAATGAAACATATATAATAGTACGTCTAAATAAAGCTATTAACTCCAATAATGCATGGTTGCCAATGGGTCTTGAAACTTCTTTTTCTCAACTTATTGTGGTGATTGAAAAATAATAGTACGTCTAAATAAAGCTATTAAAAGAATATAATTACGAAGTGATAATGTTTTTATTATTGTTAAACTTTACATGTGCCATTTTTATTAAAAATAAATAAATTACAGCATACCGGGGAAGGAGGTATGCATAGTGTTGGGGGCCTTCCCCCCCCCCCCCCCCCCTCAACTTTTCAATTTTTCAAATGATTTTTGTAATAGTGTTCCTTTTTTGTACTTTGAAATTTTAAATTCTTTGATTAATTTATCTTTTCTGGTACTTTGGAACAAGTCACCCACTTATTATACTATTCTACGGAGTATTACTTTAGGGTGATGAAATATATACCTCTTACTTATGAATATTGATACGAGGTATAAGTTTAGATTTATTACGAGTATTTTTTAATTAAGTAGATGGAATTATTCATATTATAAAACTTTGTTTTATACTTGGAATATATCAGGAAAAAAGAACTATGAATATGTGGTTGGCTCAAATTATATCACATCTTATATGTCTATATTAGTATAAATTATAATTAGAGAGTAATATGCAGAACTAAACAAAAAATTCACTTACTAACTTTTATTCTTTCCTAATCATTACCCAAACATGTTCAAAAAGAAAGATTTTGAAAAAATAAACATATCATTACGGAGTATGATGTTTTGAGTTTTAAATCGTCCTACAAAATCTCGAAAAAAAATTCAAGTGCACAATTTTTTTAATGCAATGCATTTCTGTATTTATACAATACATTTGATGGTTTGTTAGTATATTTTGGGGGCCCTCCAGAGTACTAATTTAAAGTCACTGAGAAACAAGATATTTATAAGCAAAGATCATAATTTTTTTAACGCAACAAAGGCCATTCGATATTACATGTTTCGACTTAGTTATAAGTCTTATGGGTTATATTTTTTTTTTCAAATATGGAGTATATAGCTTTTGATTTCACATTAAATTATGTAATAATTAAAACGTAGAAGTTACTCATTCGCCTAACTATTTTAACTGAATTCACATTTATCGATTTACAATATTCATGGTAGGGGTTCATAAAATCCTTCAATAAGTTTGTCGTACGATATTAGTTCAGCTTCAATTTTTTTTTTGTTTATTTCGTCACTTTCTAAAAATATTTGTATATTGTCTTTATGGGACATATTTTAATTTGGTCAACTTAACCTTAATTGACTATACTTTACAAGTAGGCTGCATGAGAACCCCAAAGAGGTTGATATGATGTTGGAAAGAAAGTCATACAACAATCTGAATGCATTTGCGAAACCTCTTGACCAAGCTAAAACACCCATTTCTTCACTGTCTGACGTCTTAACTCTTAAGCCAGATAATCGTTATTATGGTTTGCACAAAGCCCTATGCATTGCTTGATCCAATCTTGACACCTCAAATGTTAATGTATCAACCAGAGAAAGGTTTCATGGGTAACGGGCACAATTAGCCTTGCAGATCCTACTGAGGCAGGTCATTACATAGGTTGTGACTATTGTAATCGGAAAGTGAATTGCGATGAAGGGATGAAATTTCAATGCATGTATTGTGGTCAGAAAAATGGAACAACTGTTAAGAGGTTTGCAATCTATACTATTGTACATATGTAATGCATTTTGTCGGCTGAAAAATGATATATTCTCTCATTCCGTGTATAGGTTCAGAGTAGCAGCAACTGTTACTGATGACACAGGGTTTGTGGATGTGACCTTGTTCACGAATGATGTTCTGGAAATCATGAACCATGCAAGCCTCCAACCACCGGGTGAGCTTGAATTGACTGCCCTCGATGAAAAACTTGCCAACTTGTCATTCGTTTTGGGAATCCGCCGCACTAAACAGGATGATGAGGTCTGCACCGCAATACTTATGGAATTTTTGCCTCTGTAAGATCCCCACACCATTGGTAGATTCCCCAGATGACTTTCTCGAGGACAAAACCGACAAATCTCAACAACAAACAAAGAGGAAGTTGGATTATCTTCAGCCCACTACAAGTGTGTCCCACAAGGAAACTGGATCTCCCAGCACCGATGCAGATCTTCCCATATCTCAATTGAAATCCAAAAAACAGAAACATTCTGCTACTGTTCCTCGCCAAGGAAATATGGCTCAGGTTACTAATCCAAAAACACCAAACCTGCCAGTTTCCCCGTCTTCCCCATAACTCCCGATATTGGTCTTTGTTCTGGAGTAGTACTCTGAACTCATTAGCTTATGACCTTTTGCACCTTGTGTATATTTTCTTTTGCTACAAGTTGAAACTAATGCCTATAATTGATTAGAAAGTAGACCATGGCTCGCCCCTCTACTTTTTAATATAATTATAGGTGTTTTTGCCCTAACTCTGTTATCCTTTTGTGCAATTGGCTGGATATGTCCACCCAACTTGTTGTAATATATAACATACTTATGGTTGGTAAAATCTAACTGCTCTTTTGTCTTTTATGCTTCCATTTCTTTGTCTGCAAATTTTTATTGCCAGATGTGTTGTCCCTTGTGTAGGTTGCTTCATGATCAATTGAACCTTCTTGATATCCAATAATAACCATTTCCTCATATATTAGATGCATTGAGTTGTTTTTTTTAATAAAAAACACCCTACTTGATTTACATCCCTGAAACTCAGGTTATATGCTTTCATGTTATGTATTTCCTTGATTTGTGACTTGGTGGATTGTTATTTCATGAGCACCACACTTTTGGTTTATTGTCTTGCCAAATTATAATCCTGCAAAGCATGTTGTCAACATATGTGCAGGTGATGTTTTAAATACTACGTATTCAATGTTGTGTTAACAAATTCTTCTGCTCAACTGGGAACTATTTCACGCATATGACACATATATGATATAGGAAAGATGCTTTAAGATTTAATGTTGTCTTCTTTGGTACTTCTGCAAATTACTATTATTAATTACATTATACCTGCTCAAAGCCTGATGTTATATATACCTTAGAAGCTACAAAAATATTAGCAAAGCTGCCAATGCTAGAGTTCTTCACGGACAACACTAGCAATGAGACTAGGATGATTGATATACATTTGTGATATGTGCCTTGACCATTTTTTAAAAAAAATTCTAAATTTTCTTTCTTAAACTCAAACTTCTGCTATCAATACTTAAAAATCACATTACCTGGATTGGGCACACAGCCTCGCGCATAGCGCGTGCCTTGTTAGTATTTTTATAAGTGCCCAAGTAGGGAAAATTATCAAATAAGCCCCCGTACTATGCCGAAAAAGTCGATCAGGCCCTCGTACTTTACAAACACTCAATTAAGTCCTCGAACTATTAAAAAATGTTCAATTAAGCCCTTTCGGTCGGTAAGTAACTGGTTTCCCGGTTAAACAGTGACGGCGGCGATGATGTGCTCGAACCCCAGCAATGGCGGCTGCCGGGAAACGAGTTACATTTAACCGGGAAACCGGTTACTTACCGACCGAAAGGGCTTAATTGAACGTTTTTTAATAGTTGGAGAGCTTAATTGAGTGTTTGTAAAGTACGAGGGCCTAATCGACTTTTTCGGTATAGTACGAGGGCTAATTTGATACTTTTCCCGCCCAAGTATGATGTGATCTGGTAGGATTATAAAGTAAAAACACCCTAGTTGTCCTAAATAAAAGGGATTTATTTTTATTCCTTACCGGTGGGCAGTAGCGACCAGCGAAGAGTAGAAGATCCATGCGCTGCTGCTTCTCTTCAAAATCTAATTTGTTCATTCACTTTCTCCGGTAAACCTTTGGTTTTGAATCGATTTAGCAAGCATAAATCAAATGTTCAGTTTCTTTTTTAAGACATTTCCGCATGTCAGGTCCTCCGCTAGATCTTCGCTCACTGTTTTTATGTTGTATCGAACAAAAGCTGGAGATGAATCCTTGGGCCTAGCGAAGAAGAGAGCTTCATTTGTGGCATCTTATCTTGTAGATAGATGTGGTTTTGCTCCAGAAAAGGCTCTCTCAGCTTCCAATTATATGAAGTTCGAATCCCCGGATAAACCAGAATCTGTGCTTTCGTTCTTAAAAACCCACGGATTCACAGAAAGTCAGATCTCAAAATTAATCCGAAAATGCCCTCCAGTCCTGTTGTGTAATCCTCAAAATACCCTTTTGCCCAAGATTGAGCATTTCAAATCCGTAGGATTTACCAAGGATGACTACACTACTGTACTGTGTGAATGCCCTAGTATTTTCAAGAGAAGTTTGAAGAATCAACTCTTCCCCGCTTTAGCTTTCCTCAAAAAGTTTTTTGATTGTCCAGAAAAGATAATAGTTTGCTTGAAGCGGACTCCTTGGTGTTTTTCAGAGTCATGCCAGGCTACAGTGGAAGCCAATATTCACCTTCTGAGGGAAATGACAGTTCCGGAATCAAGCATCTTGTATTGCTTCCAAAACCAGCCTAGGTTGTTCATCAAGGATAAGGAAAAGTTTACAATGATTCTGGAAAAAATCAAGGGAATGGGGTTTGATTCATCCAAAAGAACATTTATGGTTGCAGTTCATGTGTTTTGTTCCATGAGTAAATTAACTTGGGAGAAGAAGGTACATGCTTATATGAAGTGGGGACTTTCAGAGGACCAGGTTAGTGAAGCTTTTGGGAAGAACCCTTGGATTATGGCATGTTCTGAAGAAAAGATTCTACTGGGAATGGAATTTTTTGTAAACAAAATGGGTTTAAAGCCTTCTGATGTCTTGAGTAACCCTGTGATTATAATGCTTAGTTTGGAGAAGAGAATCATTCCTAGATCTCTAGTTTATCAGACATTGGCTTCCAAAGGTTTATTTAAGAAGGAACTAAAGCTATTTGTTAGGATGTTGAAAGCGCCTGAAGAGAAGTTTCTAATGAAGTATGTGAAACGCTATGAGAATGAAGTTCCTGACCTGATGAAGCTTTATCATATGTCTGGGCTAATGGTGGTGCCAAATTAGAGCTTCTCGTATTGATTACTGAGATGACCATCATCCTGAGGTTACCTCCAATTCACCTTATTATTTTGGAAAGATCATATCATCATAATCTTGCAGTTTTCTCATTGTATCTTTGTTCTAATTTCTAGGTAGTAGTTAGCCATTGAGCTAAGAAGTTTTGAATAAATATGTGTTGCAGCCAACAAATCGGCTACTTGTGAAGCCACAATTCAACATCCATATTGTATTATCTTTTGACCAAAAAAATACAGACCTGTTTGGGAATCTAATCCCGGTACACATGCTCCCTTATGCTCTTTCAAAAAAAATCAGTGCTACAAACCAGCTGGTGTAATTCCTCCATGCACTTCAGGTTCAAACTGGTTGTGCTAGAGATATTTACCATATGAATAAAACATTGGTAAGTGTACAAATAGGACCGGAATAAATTATAGGACTAAAAGGTTTGGTTAGTGAACTCACAAAATTAACCTTAGTTCATGTCACTGCAATAGAATTACTCTTAAGATGAAAAATGGCAAAAGTCTCTTATACAAAAAGCTCCACAAAATTTGAAACAAGACATTTAAGGATTTTTTTTGCTTATGGAGGACTGTTACTGTGTTTATGCTGTAGTAATACTGCTATTGCCGGCTTGCCGCAATACTGTTAAGAGCCGGTGGAGCCAGATAGTAGCACTCTAGTCCACAGTGGCACGTGACAGTAGCACCGCTATTGACACCAGTGCCAGCATTCCGCCTTCAATGGCCGCAGGGATGGAAAACAGGAAAAGAGAACTGTAACAAACTAGCAACCACTGTCGATGGCGACTTCTGGTAGTAGCAACCATGCTGCTACCACTGCCGTACTGCTACTGCTGTCCTTATTTGTAGAAACTAGAAAGTGTTGAAGATGATATTTTTTGTGTTTGTAACTCTGGTCATACAGTTCTAATGTACTTCTCCCAAAGATATACGGAGTACATTTCATCCTCTCTAATGACCATTGAGCTCGACCACCATTGCCGAACTTCCACCATTGGGTTCCAGTTATTGCCACTAGCAATTGACTGCTTTAATGTCAGTATACTACCACTCGGAAACAAATAAAAGTTATAATAAACTTACCTCTTGTGAATCAACGGAAATAGAGGATGTCATTGCAAACTAGTATGATAGTGAGTAGTGAACCTAGACACTGTTACATTACCTAATCCACCACCATCGGGACAGGACAGTGATAGTATGCACTCTTGATTACTTGAGAATTCATATTATGATTACGTAGAATTTCATAAACAAATGCATACATCAAAATGGCCAGGCCAAGACAGTGTAGACAGGGGGAAAACAAAGCATCGAGTAATGCAATAAAGGGGAAAATAGAACATCCAACAATGTGGCAGGAGATTTTATTGTATGATCAAATCGAGGTCACCCTTTCCATCAATTGCAATGGAGCTAAAGACTCACTATTTTTTTGCTTGGGAATATGATGGAATAAAGCAAAATAGTTCACTAAACTGTCTGCGCTTCTTTGTTATGAAGCAATAGTCAGTTCATGCAATTTTCGATGTTATTCTCACTATGGGTCATTTGGAAACAATCTCTTTGTGCTTTAGTGCAGGGGTAAGACTGCGTACATCCGACCCCCCACCCCCTACTCCACCGTAGGTGGGAGCCTTAGCGGCACTGGGTAATGATGATGATGATGATGATGATGATGATGATGATGATGATGATGATGATGATGATGATGATGATCAAATTGAGGTCACCAAGCAAGCTGGGTTGAACATTTATCACTTTTGTAAGTTTATCAAATGAAGCACTAGCTCCAGATGGAGCTGCAGAACTACCGTCCTCTAGAATGGGGTTTCAGAGTTGAAGTTTTGCATATTAGAACTGCTAAACTACCCTTCACATTTGTGTCCTTCAAACCCACTTTCCTCTTTGCTTCTTTAACAGATGTGGATATATTTGTTTAGTTTTATATATGTGTGCGTAATCATGTCCTGTGTTCATATACATATTAGTAGGATTGCAAGAATGACTAACTCATGCAAAAAACACACGTGCTGAACAATGAATGTATCATGACTACCATCCATGTGTGTTTATGATGAGTTATAACCGTTTCAATTTCCAAAACTTATTTCAGATGTGGATATATTTGCTTAGATTTATATATGTGTGCGTAATCATGTCCTGTGTTCATATACATATTAGTAGGATTGCAAGAATGACTAACTCATGCAAAAAACACACGTACTGAACAATGAATGTATCATGAGTACCATCCATGTGTGTTTATGATGAGTTATTGAGTTATAACCGTTTCAATTTCCAAAATTTACTTCCCCATTTTACTTATCACGCTTACTGGGAAAATGAAATTGAAGGTCGGATGGTCTCTGTTTATGTAAAAAGGAGAAGTTAAAATAATATCAATTACAGGTCCTTTCTATAAAATGAAATGTGAAGAAACTTTAATGACATCCCAAATAAAAAGTGGGATAAAATTATAGGATAAAAGTATACGAGGTGGGATAAAATAAAACAGTAGTCTTCAATCTTCATATAAAAAGTTAGAATAAATCTAGACCTTTAGTCATTTGCAAATAGATGAATTAGATGAGCTTTAATTACAAGATACTATGTAAAAAATTATGCAAATGTTTACAAGTACAAAGTGGATAATTAATGAATAAAAGTCTTAAAAAAGTTTGTAACTCTTAAATTTGTGCACATTTTATTTATGTATTACGATGCACATTTGTGCTCTACATGTGCACTATTTATATATTCACAATACATTTGTTTCAATATTCTCATCACAAGTTCTTAAATATTAAAATGTCACCACTTCTTAAACTTACAATTTGGTCTCTTCCATTCAAGTTTTCTGATTGATGATCAAAATTAATTTTTATTTTTCACTTAGGAGTTAGGAAGCACTTTTCACACAATATAGGATGTGGGACCTCGTGTGTCTGTCTTGGAATGTTTTATGTATTCATAAATTAAAGCTCCATTCACACTTTACAGATTGAGAGTTACTTTATACCCCGTGAGTTACTTAATGCCCCGTAGGGTTTTGATTTTTGACTCCCAGTTTATTACATTATTTTTCTAGTTTCTCTCTCTAACTGCAAAGGTATTAACAACAAAAGACTCGGCATTGTTAAGTGTTAACAAACTCAGCATACATTAAGTTGACGATTTATATAAGCTGGTAAAATTTGGATCTGGTAATTTCACTTATAGTCTTATACTCATTTATAGCATCAATCCAAACTGAGGCTTACGCAAAAACTTTCGAGCGCAACCTATATATACATCGAATTTAAACAAAGATGGGAACATCTAATCTGAATTCAGGCCTTTAGGGTAAGGACAGAATGTGTCTTTAGATATGCAGATAGGAAGCGTTAAAAAGGAGAAAAACGATGAGACTACTAGATATCAGACAAATTGCTTCAGAAACTCAGTAGCCACAAGTCTTCCTCGGGTGTTAACTGACAATTTGAGTTCACTAATCTCCTTGTCAATGTCCTGTCAATTTCAAAGAATAGCAGTTAATTTATACGGAGTAATTATCAACAAAAAGCTCTATTTCAAATACACAGTACAAAAGAATAAAAAACATTCTTCTAAGAAACAAATTGAGTTTTTCATTGGCGTCATTTTAATTACCCAAAAAAATACGGAAAATTTAAAATAAAATAGAATTGTTCACTAATACTTCACCAAAATAAAAATAAGCATATTAAATGAAAAACTCTCAGACATCATGTTAAATGAAAAACTCTTTCCTCAAATGTATATAAGCATAGTTATCTTACCTCCATGAACTGTACTATAAAATCAATTAGTTTCTGCTTCTGCATTTCCTCACAATGGTAGTTAGTTATGAGGAAACTAATGTCGTAGCCCTGAAAGGTTATGTAGGCCATATTACGACGAATCAGGAACTGCTATCAAATAAAAATAGGGAAAAGGTGCAAATAGGCCCATGTACTAACCAAAAAAGGTCAAATAAGCCCTTATTTAGAAGGCTCTGTCCGGCCGTCGCCATTTGGGGTGGTTCCCGTTGGAATTTTTTGATGAAATTTTTTTAGCATCTTATTCAATAAGTCAAGTTTACTCATACCAAATTTCAGCTAAAACCTCAATCGGGAAGGCATTCAAATGAATTCTTGAAAATAATTGTGCAGTTAGAAGCGCAGTTATCTTCAAAAATTCATTTGAATGCCTTCCCGATTGAAGTTTTAGGTGGAATTTGGTATGACTAAACTAGACTTGATGAATAAGATGCTCAAAAAATTTCATCAAACAATTCCACCGGGAACCACCCCAAATGACGACGGCCGGACAGAGTCTCCTAAATAAGGGCTTATTTGACCTTTTTTTATTAGTACATGGGCCTATTTGCACCTTTTCCCAATAAAAATATGTCAAACTGAAAATAGCAAAGCACCAAAGTTATCTGGACTCGGGACTACTAGATATGAAAGCAATGATGGACATCAGCAACTAGAGAAACATTTAACATCTCCGTAAAGGCTATGTGTGTAGTCAGGGAAAATGGAAGGGAAAGGGGAAAATGCTAAGGAAAGTTGTTCATTCATGTTTGGTTTTACCTTTTAAAAATCAGAAAATAATTAAGATTTGAAAATATGAAAAAAAAAAATCAGATTTGATTAAAAATTATTAAGATTTCTTAGTGTTTACATAATGGAAATATGCAAATAAAGTAACATCAACAATCATCTAAATTTGATTCATTAAGTTGGAACCAAATTTTTATGTCTTAATTTTATTTTGTTCCAAATCTTACGTATATTTTTTTCTTTATTTTGTTTCCCTAGAATTGTGTGGTTGTGTACTGACCCAAAATGCATCAAACACCCCAGATGTTCAGAATGTAATGATTCTGTTAAATAAATTAATTCATTTAGAAGTCCAAGTTGGAAAGACCTCGAATTCTCGAAATATGGATTTTCATTCATCTTGCACGCTATGATTATTCATGCCTTCACAACAAGTGGATGTTCTGATTTTTTTATGAACCGTTTGAAATGAGAGCATGAAGGACAAGTGCAAGTAACTCAGATTATGTGTCAAATACCATGTAAAATACTTGTTTACATCAAAGATGTTTTTACTCGGACTTATTACAGTCCCAGACTAGACTTAAATGGACCAGACCATAACAGACTTAAACAAATCCAACAAGTCATCGACAATTGTAAAATACACATAGAAAATAGATCAGACATCTACCATACCAGACCAGAAAATTTCAATGAAAAACATCCTAAATGTGTCTGAAGGAAGAAATTCAAGTTTTTCACACAAGGAAGCAACACATACCTGTACTGGCTTTCTCCGAAGTACCTGAAATGCCTCTGCTCTCATTGATAAAAACCTGAGGAACTTTTTCGCTAATATGTTTTCAAGTTCATCTGACTGCTTTACCTATATACAACATGGATATAATACCTTTAGAGGAATTGAAAGCTTTTAGGCTTCATTTTCAGTTTAACCCTTTCTTTTTTGTGACTGCCAAATTTACATTTCTGCCCTCTCAGTGACAGAGGGCATAGCTCAAATAACAACCTCTGTTTGCATCTTTAAAACATTAAATTCAGAAGGATATGTATTCGGCAGATGATCACCAGTGTGTAACTATACTATTGAGGATTTGTGCAGAGAAACGGAAAGCAAAACATACACATAGCTACCAGTACCTTGAGGCTTATCCTCAGTGAATTAATAGAGGTTTCAATCAAGCATTTTTCAGCCTCATTTCGGCAGATCAAAACCTGAAAGATGGTAGAGAGGCCAATTCATTCAATCTTTCAAGGAAAAATATGATGGTAAAATCATTCAAGGGGTCAAATAAGCCACAACCACAACCACAAATTCAGAGGTCAATGTTTTTAAGAAGTTACATAATAGGTCAAATTTCAGTAAGAGATGAAGAGGCATACATCAGATGCACAAAGCTTATTCAAATGAATAACACAATAAATGTAAATACAACTTAGCTGAGCACTTACAGGATTGAGTAGAAGTTCTTGGCTGCTCCTGCATTTAGACAACATTCAAGAAATTAAAATATGTGTATAGAATTATAGATATATAAGCTAAACATTGAGTATGACAAGTTAGAGAGACAGTGGAATGGAGAGAATTTGTAATACAACAACATCCAAGCCTTAATCCCAAAAAGTGTTTGGGGCTAGCTAATATGAATCAACATATGACATCATCGTCATCATCATTACCCCAATGCCGCAAAGGCTCCCACCTACGGTGGGGTGGGGGGGGTCGGATAATAATATGACTGAGAATAGGGCAGATAAACATATGACATCGAAGAAAATTTGTAATGGGAAGATGATAATATACAAAATCTTAATCACTGCTTAAGTTTCAAAATCTAATATGACTGAGCATCTAAACATTTCCAAAAATAAGGCTGAATCAAGGGATCTTCATAACAGGGGCATACAACCAGTGGCGGAGCCAGGAATGGCAGGTTATGGGGGCTGGGGCTTAAGGAATTTATATAGTGGGGGCTTAGGGAATGACAGCCCCCGCCTGTCTCCACCCCTGCATACAACTTTCTTGTTGCTTTAAAATTCATCTAAAAATAGCCCCTATCCATTTATAAATTATAATTGATCTATTTTATTTGACATGTAGAAATTATTAGCACCAAGGCTGACATGATGATGAGTTAGTGCACCCCTGATCGATAACACAAATGTAAAATATACACGATGAAACATGAATTCATACTTTAGTTCAACCTCTGGTTTGTTATGTCTTTCAACTTCTTGACAGGGGAAGTTCTGCAATCAGCACAAGCATTAGAAGGTTATTTTGGCCAAGCCTGTGGTATGACATCATACTTATGAACTTTTATAAAAGAAAAAGGGAAAGCAATAACATTGTGCCAATTTCATCTAGCATCGATAATGAAGTCTAATAAGGTTGCCCTTCAATTGATCTTACTTTTTCATTTTAACTAAAATTAAGTTCATTACATGGGTTTCAATCTGAAATTGGGATTCAAAGGCCATTTCATCTTACTAGTCTCTTCTCGCCTTCAAAATAATACGACAGGCATTTTCACTATCGTTAGAATTTTCTGCAAATTGCGGAAGTGTTACTGCTGCATTATTATAATCGG